ATGGATGGATGATGGATGGATGGATATTCAGCCACTGGGATCAAAGGGCGTCTCACTCTGACTCACCACTAATTTATCACTGTGAAAATAGGTATGGAAGGAAGTGTCAGGGAATATGAATAGATTTGACAGCAAAAACTTCCAAACCACTATGAACATCGGGTCTTTTTATTTTAAATAAAATGATTTAGTTCCTTAAGCTTTAACCGACAGTGATATTACCCATTTCATAAGTTTTTGTATCACTCTCCCATTACTTCCTCTCACTGTGACTGTCTGACACAGTAGTACACAGCTGTGTCTTCAGTCTGCAGGCTCTTCCCCTGTAAGGACACTGTGCTGCTGGAGGTGTCTCTGGAGATGGTGAATTTATTCTTTAGTGAGTCCTTGTAATAAGTGTTCCCATCACCACAAACAGTAGCAAACCACTCCAGTGCTTTATCAGATGACTGTCGAAAGAAACATGTACAGTAGCTCCTATCAGTGAGTGAATAACCAGAGACTTTACAGGAGATGGTCAGTGACTCTCCTGGTTTTACAGTCACTGAATCTGGTTGAGTGAGTTCAGTATTGCAATGTGCACCTGTAAGAAAATTAAGCTTATTAATTTCATTAATTGATACAAATTTTAAAATGCAACAGTATATAGAAAAATAAGAACACAAACACTGGAGTTTGAGTAAAAAAATCATCTATAAAGTACAGTGATCTTACATGAAAATAAAGGCATTAAAAGTATCAGGACTCTCAGAGCTTCCATTGTAACACAAAGTCTTTGGCTGATTTGATGGTGAAGTCTGTGTGTTTAGAGGAACCTCATTTATATGAAGGGCAGGTGGGTGAATTTGTTTACCTCCCTGGGGGGTTGTAAGGAGCTCTGCTGCCCCCATATGGGGAAAAACTACAAAATTAAGAAACATTTTTTAAGAAATCCATCCTTTCATCTTCTAGCTGCTTATCCTGATCAGAGACTCAGGGGGTCTGGAGCCCATCTCAGGTGGGGGTACATCCTGGGCGGGGTGCCAGTTTATTGCAGATTTTTCATGAAATCTAGCTGTTAAGTGAAGAGAAAAGAGACTGTGCCTGCTTGGAAGAATTTTTACAGGTAATTTATAATTGAATACTTTTGTAAATTTCATTATCAAATAAAGGATGTTTCACATTTTTCTGCTTTGTTTTTTTCTCAGATTGTTAGATGTTATTTGACCTTCAAGAAAACAAAATTATTTTCATTCTCATTTCAGAATGTCTATCAAATAGACCGGTAATTTGTGGTAATGAACAGATAAAACTTTTTTAAGGGCCCCGAGTTGTTGCTTCCAAGCACCTGTTGGAGTAAGTTGAGTTTTCACGATACATTTTAGGTGTTTATTTGTATACATAAATATATAAATACATAAAATGCAGCCCAAAGTGCTTTACACTGAGAATAAAAATAAGGAAAAGAGAGACAAGCAAACACTGCTGCCTCAGGGTCTGCACTGTGTGTGTGGAGTCTGCATGGTCTCCCCATCTCCATTGTCACTGGATACTCTGATTTCCTCCTACAGCCCAAAGACACGCAGTTAGGTGTCTCTAAACTGCACATGCAGTGTGACTGTGTGTGTGNGCTCATAAGATGTTTTCCCTAGCCTGGACGCGGGTCACCGCCCCCCCCATCCCCGGAGCCAGGCCTGGGGGTGGGGTTCGATGGCGAGCGCCTAGTGGCCAGGCCTGTGCCCGAAAAAGGAAAGTGTTTCTCCCCTCCA